TTGACATAAATTAAAATATAACTTGAAACACCGTTCACAGCTTAAGATTTATATTTTCTTCTCTATAATCGATAATACAAATTTATTGTTAATAAATATCTTTTAAACAATAGTAGAGCATTTTGATAGTCGCCTTTGTTCATTTATTGTTTCATTATTTTGCCCGAACAACGGTCTTTCCATAGCTGGCCAATTTCAATTTTTGTTCTGCTTTTGTTTTAAACTTGGTGCCGGTTTTGTTGTTGCCGTTGCAATTTCGAACATTTGTTAACGAATTTGTTTGCTTGTTGAACATTCTGAGCGTTCCGCTCTTTTCGCATCGCCATTGTTTGTTTGCCCGGCATTGTTGCACAAATGACGAGGCAGCCGTAGACCCCTCTGTTTCGCTCTGACACGCACTTAAACCCCCACCCACTATCCACCACCTCCCCCTCGACCTTCGCCCCCTTTGGGGATTGCCTACGTGCCGTGCTGCCTGGACGACGCGTTTAAAAAACAATCAATTTTAATTTCAATTTAAATTAGTTGCCGCTGTGTTTCTGCCGCTCGCCCTTTTTCGGCTTAATGCCGCTGCAATTCGCCGTTAAATTATTTTTGCTCATTTATGCCACTGCCCTTTGCCGCCGACTGTAATGCAATTTAGCGTTTGCTGCCCCCACTCTATTGTTTAATTTCGTTTATTACTAAATTCCGGCAAACGGTTGTGAATAGCAATAAATTTCACTTTAAAACGATGTGCATTATTAGAGATAGTTAGTAACAAAATTGAAAGTATTTTCAGTCAAACAACTATTTAAAAATGTAATATATTTATTCTTATAAAAACAAGTAAATTATTCATACAATACTAATTATATCGAAATAATTATATTTTCGCAATCACCTTACACTTGCGAAACGCAGGTCACACTTAAAACAAAAAAGCAAATGCTCTTTTTGTTTGCATTTCAAATTGGATTTCATTTCATTTCTAAATATTGCTCACCTATGAACTTTATCATTGCATTGCAAATTACTAAACAACATAAGCATATTAAAATTGCAAAGAGCAAAAAGTAGTTGTGTTTGCCAACATTTATGTATTAACAAATAAAATGTGTCAAATGTGCGTGCATTCCGCTTTTTGTTCGGTTACAATTTAATTTCGGATTAAAAAGTTGCAAAGCACGAGATCAAGTGCAACATCTCTCGGATTTGCGGCCCAAACTGAATTCCAACTTTTCTGCTGCGGTGTCCAACTTTTCGTTAATCCCCTCAGAACCCAGAGCCCAGAAACCGAAACCAGTTTTGCCCCCGAAAATATATATAATTTAGTTCTGATGCGAGTCGGGATCAAGTGTTGAGCTTAACCCGCAACCTAAATCAATCCGGCGGACACGCACACAAGCCGAGGGACTGCGGAATACAAATGTATCTGCCGCTGGCGCTAAACTACTTAACAGCAAATTTTGCGTAATTTACGTCCTGGCCAAGGAACAGATGGCATTCCAGTCGAAGTTCGTGTATCCCGAATCCCGAACCAGGGGATACGCATTCGACAGGCAGATGTGGCTGCAGCCGCAAACATGTGTTCCTTTAAGCGAGATTCGGTCCTCTGGGGTACAGGGTTCTGGATCGGGGATAAATTATTGGGTGCGCCTTCTGGACTCCGCCTCCTGGCAGAGAGTATCTTCGTATCTGCACATCCACATCCTCATTCACATCCACTTGCACACACATCCTCGTCCACATTTGCGTATCTGCGGTTGCGTGGTCTTAGCCTGTACCGAATCAAAGCATTTAATGGCGCTTTTAATCTTGTTAATCGCCCCTTTCTGGTCCGACTGAGATTTTCAGATAGTTTCGACCGCCAGATGCCTTGTTTATGTGCACGTGGGCGTGGCACGAGAAAATTGCCATGGAGCGGATAAATAGTTAAGTTGTGATAAGCCCCAAAGGTTTAGCAGCTGACCGGCGAGCCAAAAAATCGTACGAAATTGTTGCATACTTGCGGGCGTCTTTAAACCAAGTAATGGATCCGCACGAAAGTAAAGAACTTTAACTTGGACAAAATCCAGGGAAAACGCTCTGGGAATAAAACGAAATCATCTTATCCACTTTAGCGTCCTTCAAGGACAATTTTGACATGTTCAAATCCTTTTTTGCATGGCCCCCTTCATTCCCTTCTGGGCGCTTCTACTTTCGCACAATGAATATTATTTCTTTATGCAAATTTCCGCCGGAGCTGCCACTTGTTGGGTGCCATGGAAGACCCAACCTATTCCGGTCTCCTCTCTTGCCCATTTGCGTGATATTTTGTTGAGCAAGACAAATGATTTCCATTTAATTTATTTTCACTGCTCCGCTCGTTTCGCTTGGCTCGTGGCGGCAAAAGGATTTAGCTGAATAAATTATAGGTTGAAATTGTTACATCTTGGACGGGTTGGCAAAGGGGAGGGGGGAACGGGGGGAATAGTCGAAGACAAGTGCAAATAAAATAAGGGTGCAAGCCGCTGACAAATGTTGGTCGAAAGTGGGAGCTCTCTTTGCAGGCAGCTAAACGCTTAAAATGAATTTATCGCTTCTCTCCGGCTGCTCTTGAAATGTCCCGAAGAACTAGTTACTTTGTAAGCACTTGAAGGAAAATTTATAAAGGTTTCCTGTATAAGAATATTATACCTTTATTATTAACAGTAAATATTAATATTAAAAAAAATAATATTTTTTTGGTGTATAAAACTTAATAAATGTTTCTAGAAAGAAGATTTAGTTCGTTTAACCTTACATTTTTAATACTTACAAAAACTATATTTTCATTAAGAAGAATATAACTTATAATAAACAGAAAACCTTAAAAATAGAATATCTTGTACGACCAATTCAGCTCTTATTTTTTCCATTTATGCAATTACTGCTTTTTTCCATCAGACCCCTTGATCCCTGTGCATTAATTAGCTCGAAGCCCACAGGAAAGAACTTGGTTTCGCATCAGGCATTTGGGGCTTATGCAAACATGGCCAGGTGGTCAATCGGAATCTTCCCCTCCAGACACACGTGTGATTCGATCCCACCTCTGCTTCACCAAATCGTGTGTGTGGGGGCAGCGCTCAGTGAGATTTCACACTTTGTCGCTTTGCATATGGGCACGTAAGTGGCAGTGGCGGCGGGAAGAGGGGGGAGAATAAGGCTGCCAGCGATTACAGACGCGCCGACTTGTAAATGGCATCCACGGTGCGGAGCTGCTGCGACTTTGGCTCTGGATTTCGCTTTTGGTTCTGGCCCTGTTTGCCTCCTTTCTGGCTTCGAATCGCGTGCCGTTTTCGCGATAATGAAACCGAAAGGCAATGCTCACAAAGCCAGCTACAAGCCGTGAGCTTCGAGCTCCAAAAACGCTACGAACTGGCCGAGACTGAATGGGTAGTTCCCGAAAAAGAAATCGGAGGATTTGAATTTCCTTCATTTTACAAAATCAAAATACTAGCATTATTTAGTCTCCACAAGAAACAATTTCATTTTAAGTATTAAAGTGAATTTATTATTAGTTTTCACTTAGGTACAAAATTTTAAGAGAGTGAAACCCCTTTTACCATTTTCATTTTACTTTCGTTCAATGATTTTAAAGCTGGCAGTTTAGTTTTAATTGAAATACATTTTACAGCAATAATAAAGTACTGAAAATGTATTTCCCTTTTTTTTATTGATGAGTATTTTTTAAATGAATTGGATTTTCAGCCCGCCTCTTTGCATAAATCGCTGTTGCAATCGCTCCTCCCGACCGGGCGACTAATCAAGTGCGAATCCTTCGGCCAGCTGGAATGTTTCCGACTCCGACTCCTTTGGCGCGATGGAGCAAGGAGACTCCGGGCGAGAGTGGAGCCAGCGATGCGTGTAACTTTTTCAATTAATTTGGCTAAGCTCAGGAGAAGGAAGTTCTGAGTTGAACCCGGGCCGAGAGACAAGGAGGAGTTTCGATCCGAGGAGGCAGCCGCCAAACTCCGACTGAAACTGTTTACGGCTGAGTTATTTCAAAAATGTTTTGCATATCAGATTGAGTCTCTGGATCTTGGCATGGTAGCTCGGGGCGGCACTTAAACGCCTTCGTTTTAATTTAATAAGAGCTTGCCAGGCGAGCTGATTCAACTGGTAACTGGTAGCTGCTCTGCATCCCAAATGAGTGCGCCAATGCAGCGGCAAAGACTCCGCGGAAAGCCTCCACATCCACATCCACAGCCAGATCCACATCCACCTCGGCTGCATGTCAAATTTGAATTTAGCTGCATTTTTACAACTGTTGCAGAGTCGGCTTTCAGTTTTCTGTTTTCAGCGTTCAGCGTTCAGCGTTTTCAACTCGCTACTCTACGCTCTGGATCTGCATTTGGAATCTGCCGGTGGCGGCGGTGGAAATCGCATGTGAGCCAAGTCAGACAGTTGGCAATTTGCATAAATTTAGATTAGTGACATCTGACGTGAGTCTCTGATATGCAGAGCCAAGCCAGCGACCAGGGAAGCGGCATTAAGTGCGGGGAAATCGGAGATGGAAGTGGAAGTTGATTTCGAAATGGAGATGGAGATGGAGATGGGGTACGAGGACCAAGGCGATTGCCACCTCCTAATTCTCCGACTAGATAAGACCCGACTTGCTGCTCCCTGTACTCCGTTCTCCGTTCTCCATTCTGCAGTGAAACTGCCACCGACAATGGAATATGATTTATGGAGAGCACTCGAGATGGGGTTTGAAATCAGGCCGAGAGGCTGCGTGAAATTCAACAGCTCAAGTGGAAAATTAATCGCATGCAAGCTCATTATGAGCATTAGTTGACTGTTTGTTAATTGTCGCCAAACGGGAAGCAGGATAACAGCCGAAGGAGCTGAAGAAGCAGAAGCAGGAGGACAGGAAGCCAACCTGAGCTGCATACGAAATTGCCAGCAATATTTCAATCAAACTTGAGCCGACAGAAAGCCTACCTAATTGCGATCAGAAATGCAGTTGGGGTTTTAGGTAAGAAAGATAAAGAAATTGATTGCTTTTGAAAGTTTTTTAATACCTTAACTACTTTACTTTAATTTACTTAAGTTTTTCAAGCACTGGTATTTGGGAACCATCTCCTGTCCAATTGAACGCAGGAATATTTGAGGACTTTTCTTAGGATCAAAGTTCTCGTAGCCCTGGGCCCAATCGTAACCCAACGCATAGGCCAATATCTGACCATCATCGCTGATGGAGCATTTGGTTATTGGCTGATCAAAAACATGGCTCTTCTTTAACTTGCTGGGCAGTTCGCAGTCCCAAAAACTGTAGGTTCCATCTGAACCCACCGTAACCATCGATTTAGTCACCTTATTTATCTTTACATCGTTTACCGCATGAATATCAACGGTGTTGAAATTCGTCGTCGAACGATGGCACTTCATGGGGTATTGCACTAAGTAGTTCTTCAGACTCATTTTAAGCACAATCCCATTGGTTTGGGCGATGAACAAACTTTTGTAGTTCGTAGCTGCGCCTTCGAAAATTGCCAATGATCGCACTTGGACGTTTTTTGGTCCCTGGGTCGTTATCCGTGCCTTCTCAATAGGTCCCTTCTCCAGTTCATAGACTACGATCGACTGGTCGGCACAAGCCACCACTGCCATTGGATAAAATACATCCGCAGCAAAACTCCGCTCCGGAAGATCCTTTTTGGCCACTTCAACAGGACAACGTGGATCCCAGAACTAAGGATTGAGAAAATCACGTTGGTAAAACTACAGAACAGTATAAAATACAATTAAATACAATTCACCTCAATAAATACATAGATACGAAAGAAAAAAGTCCCCTTTAATATTTAAAGAATATGTTTTATCAGAAATCTTTCGCTACATACTTATTGATATCAAAATTGATTATTAATTGGTTTTTATAATATATGTATGTATCTAGTTTTGTGCCATTATGTCAGGTAAAATTTAAATTTGTAACTACATAATAAATCATTCTGGACAAGATGTTTAATAAATTTTAAAACTATGTTGGAGAAATGTTTTTTACCTTTACGGTCTTGTCCCAGGAAGTGGTCATTAGAAAGTTCTCGGCCCAATGGCACGTGCGAGCGCCTTTCTTATGGGCACCCACTTTGGTCAGCTTGTTGGATTCCATATCCCAGTCGAGAACAGCACCGGTAGTTTCGGCCAGAAATACCTTAGCCCCCGATCCATGCCAGGCTGCATCCAAAGGAATGCCATCCAGCGGTTTCATGAGTTTATCGACGGCCTTGTCCGATTGCACTTCCCAAACGCGAACGGATTGATCCCAACTGCCGGCGCAGATTCCGTTCCAGGACTTCGATGAGGGCATGAATTCCAGAGCCGAAACGGAATCGGAGGGCGGAAAGGGTAGTTCGTAGTCCTTCTGCTCTTGGATTTCTTCCATTGGTTCGTGCATTATTTCCAAATTTGGAATTTATTAATGGATTTTAAATCTTAAATTGATTAAAAGACTTTTTAACTTTACTTGTACAATTTGACAGCATTACCTATAGCTTCTATCCTAAACCAAAAATATATACTTCAAAGCATCATCATATATAAATTTCTTAAATTTTTTAATTTTTCGAATTTTTGGTGCATTTTTAGACCTAATACTGGATTTTTCATATTTTTGATTGGTCCAATTTGATACCCGTTCTTAAAGGCTTAAACTTTAAAGTAATCTCCATAAAATAAAATAAACCTATGCAAGTAGTAAACTCTTAATTCTTTATGGAGATGCAAAATCAAACGTAGTGATGGTTCCGATGTTGCGTGGATTTTGCGGGACGACAAAAACTGCTCATCAAAAAACAAAAACGTTAGCAAACGAAACAATTCCCCGGCCAATATGCGAACGAGAATTCCAATAAAATGAACAGCAAAACAAACAGTTGGCCCCCTTTTTCCGACCATGGACGTGCAATCCCTGCGAACGTGCAAATATTTTAACTAAAATGGCGAGTGCGAGTTACTTTTATCTGCTTTGGCGCAAAAATACGAATCGGTACCAACAACCTTGGCGTACCAACCACCCACTGAATTGCCACGCCCTCCATACTCCCGCCTCCTCTCACACACACACACACAAGGGCGCTGTTTTTCAGTCAACATAATTTAACTACTTTTATGGGCAAAGTAATACGCCGCTAGTCAGAGGGCGTGGCTGGGCGGGGGGCGGTGGGCGTTGGTCGGAAAAGTCCGCCAATACCGCCCCACTGAACTTTCCCCTCGCTTTCCACGTGTTTCATGTTTAAATTTTAGCATTTTCTTTCATCTCACGCGTCTCGTGTGCAATATTCACAATGTATTTTGCACACCATGTGTTTGCGAGTGTTTGAGCCACCCAGAAACCATCCGAAACCACCCAACAACGACCCAACCACCCACTTTCCACAACCCGGAAAGCTCTCTGCCGGAGTTTATTGGCTTCGCAGCATACTTTGAAATTTACTGAGTTTCTCTTGTAATGCCTTGCTATATTGAAATTAATTACAAACAAAGGATGCTCCTGTGAGCCTGGAGGAAACAGCATGCTGTGCTATGTCTCACCCACCCACCCGTTAGCCACTTTTCCGCCACCCGCCACCCACCGCCCACCGCTTTTCCAGCGAAGGACTCGTGATGAAACGAATGTTTTGCCAGCGGGCTCTAATTTCTGATGTTTGTCTCGCATCAAATAAAATGCGGCAAATAAAAGGCTATTAAAATTATAAGAAATATTTAGGGGCAAGAGGTAAACAAACTATTTAAATTGAATTTTTTACAATTTCACGCTTCACTTATTTAACTCATTTGGCTATAATTGTTATTTTGATAATTGGCAAATGCTGTTTTTTACACTTTCATCAAATTAAGTTCAAATGAATGTGAAAAAAAAAACAATACGAAGGTTTAACAAAAAGCTGATAATTAAATTCCCAAATGTGCAACATAATTCAGAGTAATCTTATTTACACTTAATAAATATTATATTACAGGGGCCGCTGGTGAAAAAATAATAAAAATATGAAATATTTTAATGGTAATTGAAAAAGCTAAAGAATGGAAAAAATAAATATTTATTTACATGCACGGCTCATCTCTATTATTCTGAGGTATTTTGGAATCCATTAAATTTATGAAAATTCTACGGGGTTAATTTAACATTGTCACAAAGAAAAGGTATTGCTTGTTAACAAATTAATCGAAAATGTTTGTCATTAACGCGGGTATTAATTAAATCAAAATATTTATTGACTTACTCTTTGCTCCTTTCATGCACCCCGAAAATCAATTATAAATTAATACAAAAGTGAAAAAACCAAGTCAGACTAATTAAAAATGCTTTGCTTACCCCAAAAGGAATTTGTTCGATTGCGTAAACAATTTGGCTAGAAAAACAAGGTTGAAAAGGGATGCTTTTCCCATTTTGCCTAGGATAATTGCATAAGCAGAAGAGAAATGCATTTGTTTGTTCTTTGATGAAGTTCAACAAAAGATGGCTCGCAACTGAAAGGAAGTGTCTTGAACTCGCTCAAGGCCGCTGATAAAAGTCAACACAAAATGTTGAGAGTCAACAGAGAAAGTTAGGGAAATATATGTGCCGAGGGAAAGAATAAAAAACAATATTCGCATATTTGCACATTACAAATATAAGAGAAACGCCTCCCAACAAGACAATTAAAAGTGCTTCAAATTGAGAAGGATTTTCCAGGCCAGAGTTCCTTCCTTTCCTTGAGTTTTTCCACGACATGCTGCGCACATTCAGCCAAATTTGATTTGGCCCAGACAGACTGAATAAAATGGTGTTATGCCTGGGATTTCTTTTTCTTCGCCTTTGTTCGGCAGATGATGTCTAGCCTGATGCTAATGAAATTTGCGCCGTTTATGGCGCTGAAAATTGTCCTGACACAGGAATTTGTAATACAATAGTGGGAGGGGATTTCTTAAAGGGAGGAAAAGCTTTAACTAAAACAAAACGTTGTATTACATTTCTGCTCACAGCTGTGGAAACTTTAAAAGTGTGCTGAAAATGAAAAATGAAATAAGAAAACAATACCGTTGGTTGGGAAAAAGAAAATTAGAGGTAAAACTAAGTTTCAGTACCTAAAGATATAATGTTAAAAATGTTTAAACATTTTGGTATTGATTAAATATCACTTCGTTTTAATAAAAAAATGTTATATGAAATGATTTATGTATTATAGAAATGTTTTAAATGTTCGAGTGTTTTAAAAAGAAATCAGTTAAAAAGAATTCTGAAACGGATGCAGACTTCCACTTTCACTCTGCAAATTTAGTAACTCCCACTGACATTTTCCGACTTTTTTCCAAGGCGTCAACTGCGGTGAGACGGAAGTGCGGTCGAAATTAAAAAGGAGTTTAACCAAATTGCTATTGAAGGGCCGCGAAGCGAACAGGAGGGGAAATCAGACGGGGCCAAAGGACCTGGAAAAGGGCGTTTGCGTGGCTTTTGCTTCTGCGGTTTATTTGGGCAAAGTGCCAGTTCACAGCAGGCCAAACAGTTGCTACTCATTCGGTTGGCCAAAGGGCTGAAATGCAGTTGAGGGGGCGGCTCGTTCAATTGGAGGATCCTTTGGGGGAAGGGGGATGGCAGGGATGCTATCTGCCCAGTCGGGCGACAGTTTAATTGGGTTAGCTGCGTCAACGGCCTGTCCTCTGCTGGATCATTGGCGCTGACATGGACCGGCACATCCGAGCGAAGCCTCCTGCTATTCCTGCTTTCACCGCCCCAAACAGCACCCCATCGATTTCACTCTGCCCCCCACTCACTTTGGATTATTTCGTAATTAAACGCAAATGCAGATACCAAACTCTGTATTTCCACACTTTGTAATACCGCCTACTTGTAAAGTAAACTCTTAAATTGAATGCAATACACCATCAAAAATAATAAGTTATAACTTTGCTGTCGAACTTAACTATTGGAAATGTTAAAATTATATTTTAAGTAAGGCGTTGAGTAATGGATACCTTTAAGTCGACTCTTCACTATTATCCTGTTCTTGTTTTTCCCCGCATTTCATCAAATGGAGCATTAAAGCCTCCTTTTTCGCGGCACATTTTCATTTCCCTTTTTTTGGCCAACATCGATTGTTGCTCTTGTGGTTGACGGTTCTTGTTTTTTTTTTTTTTGTGGCTGTACTCGTTTGCCGAGGAATTGAATTGTTGATTTTACGTATACCACTCACCTAGCTGTTTTGATCACTTTAATGTTAATCACCTTTTTGGGAAATGTGTACTTCCATCAAATATTATCGTTTGATGGTTTTGTTGCATTTAAATAATGTAGATACAATACCTTACAAAATGAAACATCAAAAAATTCACTTTGAGAGATTAATTAAATTATTCATCAGTTTATAGAACGTACTACAGTAGAATCCTGTTATAACGACTCCGCTTATAGTGTCCGTCCGGGTATTGCGACGAAAACTCGATGGCTTGATTGGTCCCCAAACAGACTTATACACTTATATCCTTTTGCTTAGTGCGTCTTCCGGGTATAACGACGAAAAATCGTCGGTCCCTTGAAAGTCGCTATAACCGGATTCTACTGTATTTAAGTTTGCACTTATTGTGAAATTAACAAGTAAAAATTCTAGCTGACTAATCTTATTTATAAAAGACAAACAATACGCCTCGCATTTATTCCGAAACTCAAATGATTTGTTAGTCGAATGTTTACTCATTATTTATTAACTTTTTATGCTGGAAAATAGCGATTGTCTGGCTAATTTCCTCCTAATATTTGTCTCGGCATAATTTAGTTGCATTTGGCTGTTTCATTTAAAACCCTCACACAGACGCGTAGCTAAGCTCTTGTTTGTTGGCCAAATTTTCCAAAACATTTCATCCGCGGGCGAAAGCCTTGACCTCCCAAAAAACCCATCGCCAAGCTGCTTATGTTGTTTGCATTTTGTTAAACAAAAAATTAAATAACAGCTCCCGCAAAAACGCCCACGCACACACACACACATTCACGTGGGGCCGCAAGGGGCGTGGCGTTAAGTGCTATTATTTGTTATTTGGTAAATGCAACAAATGCCCCACCCGTGGACCGAATGCCCGCAGAACCGCGATGGCAGCGGCAAAAGCAGCAACAAATTGCAATATCTGCCAGGATGCGGGAACGAGGACATGGGGACCTGCATCCAGGCGTGGCATCATAATTAATTCAAATTTGAATTTCCTTTTGGCGCAATGCACGTGCCATTCTACATAGACAGGGAAAAGGGGGCGGAAAATGGGGGGTTGCTAGAGGTTTTGTGGGTGGAAGTGCCACGCCCACATGTGTGGCATGTTACGGCATCGGGGTTCCAGCATAATAAACTGTTTAAATATTTAGTCGAAACGAGTTTTTAATACTCGTTGGCGCTTTTAGCAGCTGCCAGCGGTCAGTGAGTGGAGGTTAAGGGTTGGGTTAAAAGTCGTCCAAACGCTGCGAAGGAATAACGAGGAAAAGCGAGGCAAAAAGGAGCAGCTTCCGCCATGTGGCAGCTTTCAAGACCCAAGTCCCGTATAATTACAGATTTTCACAAAAAAATAAAAGGAGAAGAAACCCAAGGCGTAAAAAATATACGGCGAGGGTCAAAACACTTATTAATTTATAATTACTAAAAAACATGGCTAGCCCTTTTTATGGTTTTGATTACAAATTAGGAGTTGTGGAATTCAACAATTTAAAAGGCTCAGCAAGATCTTTTAAATAATTTTTGTATAACAAAAGTTCTTGTAAATGTTTTAATCAACTTGTAAAACTGGTAAATAAAACGCAATGAAACAAGTTTTATTTCATTAAAAGTTGGGATTAAAAATGTTGTACTTCATTTTATGCATTGTCATTTCTACCATTTTCATTTTAAGCCTCTTACATAATTGTAATTCACTTAGGGAAACCCTTTAAAAAGCAGACTGAATTACAGCCAAAGCGAAGAAACTCATTGTTAATGGCATTCATTGCCATCAAATTTGCATTCAAGTTCTTCTAATATGCACATTCCCAGCTGCCAGCCCTTAAAAGCCATCAAATAATATTCAGCAGAAACTAATTTGCTGTTCATGAACAAGAAGACCTCCTCTTAGCAATTTCGTGTGCACTTTCCGATTGCCGGAGCAGAAAAACCCAAAACTAAAACCCAACCCGAACCAGCAGCCACAAAATTGTGAAACGCAAGAAAATTCACACTGGAAAATACAGCATTTGTTTCTTTGCGCAATTAATGCAGAGTGTGTGTGTGTGTTTTGCGGATCGAGGGGACGCTTATCAAAAGGGGATTCCTCTACACATCGCCTGTCATTTGGCTGAGTGCCGACATGCGATCTTTTCGAGCTCATGGACGAGGTGCGAAATGTGGCACGCACCGCATCACAGCCAGAAAACCTGTCTAATGCATTTTTCGTTGCTTATTTATGACCTGCGTAGACGAACAGCTGCCTCGACACTCTGACCCTGCGGCCACAATTTCACTAATAAATTTAAAATTGCATTTGCATATTTCAAAAATCGCCCCCAGCTGAAGCGTAACTAATTTCTCTATCAACAGCCATGATGGAGTGTGCAGTATCTTTATTGTTCATCTTTATGAAATAAATTTTAAAATTAAACAAAATAAACCATTCATCAATTAAATTAGAGGTTTGATTTCAAGTTAAAATATAGTTACATTCAACTTTTCTTAGTTAAATATGGTTTTAGTAAAGTATAGAATGTATATAATTACGAATAGCACAAGGTTACAAATTTAAAAACCGTAGTAAAAAAACCTTAGCTCATGCAAAACAAAAAAAGTAGAAATATATCCCTGTCTTCAAAAGGATAATTTCCTGGCGTCACCTCCCAAAAAATTGCCCCAACAACCGCCAATCATTCAAGTCCGTCAGCCAGTCAGTCAGTCAGCATTCCATCAGGATGCATCTCCGGGCTCTTATCCTTCCATCTGGGTCACTGGGTGATTTTAGCTAAAAATTGTTTCTGGGTAAGCGCGAAATGCATTTTGCCGGCAAATGACGCGTGCCTCTTGTCTGACAGGCCATTGTAGTTGCTGTTTTTGTGTTGGCATCGGTGCAGTTGGTTTTGCAAGGACCCTCGACGGCTTCACCAGAGGCACTCGAAGTGACAGCCGGCAAAACCCTAATTGAAATAGAGCTGAAGAATGAGTTTTCAACCCGAGTTCAGTTGGCCCGTGAGCTGTGGCGTAATTAGAAAATGAACATGGAAATATTTGCGTGTGAAAGCCGCAGACGGCAGATAAATGAATTTCGTTTGAGCCGAAGCTGAAATTACACGCGACTTAGTAAGTATATATTTGGCAAGTTTGTGGAGTAATATGACTCACCTAGTAAATTAGTTTTGATTATACTTAGTCAACTTGGTTTACGTTGACGACCTCCTTGAGAAAATCCAGGTATCCCTCATTGTTTTTGACAACATCCTCGAAAACTTCCCATTGCATTTTCCCCGATGGTCCAATTTTTTGGAAGCACTTAATTAACTGGCGACCTTCTTTCAATAGAGTCAAAGCACTAGGATATTCAACGATGACAATTGTGCCCGGGAACAAAGCCATGTCAACGATGCGCTGCAAATAGCAGTGACAGATCCATTTCTGAAATTACAAAAGAGTACATAAAGTTCTTGGTGCAAAGGATGTATAAATGGGATCTTACAGAATCCGAGGGATTTTTCACATAGGCATCGTTCATAAAGCTGGCCGTAACATATTGCATAGTTAAGAACTCCGCTAACTATTTAAATATAAATTTGAAAACATAACTGGACAATCTGCTTCTAATTTATACACACCGTTTTCAAATGACTCATAACCAAAACCGACTGATTGACATTGCTGGCCAAAGCCAATTGAAAGGCCATCAATAATAAATCTTTGATATTGTGATTGGTATAATCCCAGAAAACATTGCCCTTATCGCCAGCTGCACGAATGGAGGTACGCACCTTGGTCAAATCGAAGTCATCGAGCGTCTAAATTAAGATTAAAGTAATTCACCATTTTTCTTTTGGCTTTAAAATGCATGCTTACCATGGGACGCAGTGTTTGACTATCGTTTTGGCTCGGAACCACAAACCAAACGGTGTACTCGTTTGCTGTGATGTACTCGAAAATGCGACGCACTTGGTTAAAGACCTCCAGTACAAACTTACGCTCTTCAAGACGCACTGCCTCCTTGACCTCCAGGCAAGTTTTGGCCAATTTACATAAAGCGTCCTGTGGTTGCATCGCCTGGCGATCAAAAAGCTTTACAAAGGTTTCAAAGGGGCTGTTGGATTCCCTGGAAGAAAAGATTATATCTTCCTTATGTAGCCTGTACTTTTTGTTTTTCTAACTTTTAAAGCACTTTAACTGCAGACTCCTTTAAGGGAAAGTTTCAGTATATCTTCTGTAGTCTTATTATAACAAATGTTTAAACTTTAATATAATATAATAAGAAAGAAAGACGGTAGCTAGAGCTAAAACTTTTCCGCAAACTTGTTTTTCTGAGTTTTATAATTATCTTGATCTTGAATGACTCAATATGGAAAGTAAAAAAGTTAAACCTACTTGAAGTTACTAAAGGGGTCTCCTTCCTCATCGCTTTGAATAAGCTTAAGCCAATTTCCAGCGCATTTCTGGTGTAGATCTTTTAGATAATTCTGCGAGTGTTGTGGCCGCAAAAAGAACATTGTGTGGAAGTCCGAGATGCTAAGAGTTTCAATTTTGCCCCCGTTTATTTTATAGGAAACGGAGTCCAAGGAGTCCAATGCATCAAAACGGCGCTCCACGATAACCTTGATTACTTTGGGTTTGAGCTTTTTAACGGGGGGATTTCCGGTTTTTGCGAACCCTTCGCCACTTAATTCGTTCGTAAGCCTGTTTGGAAGTGCAGGGCGTCTCGTCGAGGTCGCTTTCCACGTCATCCTCCTCCTCAACTATCTCCAATGAATGCATCTCGAAACTCATGGAAACGCTTCCTTTTCCGATTTGAAGATGGGGAATCTTTGCCAGACTTTTACCATCAGGATAAGTTAGAGTGCAAAGAAGTAGTATGGCCTGCCCCACGGGAGTTACTGCCGGTAGATCCTTTGACACATCCTCCAACACATCGTAGACGATCATGTAAACACTGTCTCGGTTTGCAGGATTGACATTGCTGAGATTCAGATGAACCTTACCACAACCCAAACAATCGTTGATGGTCAACTAGGAGGTTGTAAAACAGATTGGGTGCCATATTTGTTCATGAATTTAATGGAACTTACCGAAACAATGTAAAGAGCGTGGTTTTCGTTAAGTGCAGATGGTTGTGACATGATTAAAATAATTAAAGTTCTTTATTTCCCAAAAGCTTCCAGAGGCGGACTTAGTGTTGATAAGATGTTAAATAAAGTGCGAGTTAGCTATCGATAATTATATCGCTGGACTATGTTTTCAGCATATTAGTGTTGCACAATGATAATTGTTTGGTAATTAGTGCTTATTGGCAAAAAAAAAAAAAAAAAAATTATTAATTATTTTTAAACAAATAAAATATTACTGAAAGATTACTGAACAAAAAATAAAGCTTTAATTTTTGTAGATTTTATTACATTTTAGACTTAAATAATCACCTACTCAACGATGAAAACAAACACAAGAAAATACATGTTTTTTATTCTTATTAAGAATTCATGACCATTTACATAGGTGATTTCACACCACTAATTTTGGGAATGGCTTGGGACCACTAAAGTGACTTCGATATAGTCCACAGCTTCCGCTTCCCACACTTTTACTTTCCATTTTTTTTTAGCCTAACGTAAATTTATGAATCAGCAAGGAATCAACATTATTATGAGCCATGGGAAGTGAGCCATTAAATTGGCTTGGCCTGGCCAGCAGACTAGGTGCATAAAATTAGGATTAACGGCTTTCTAAGTGCCATCAAAGTCCCCAACTCCTGAAATTCCCAGATGCACGCACAGAGCAACAATTAGTCCGAAACTCTGCATAAAATGCGAGATGGCCTTGGTAACTTCTCGAAAAAGCTTATTTTGTTGGGCATTAAAAAAATATACATTCGTTTTAAAACCGCCGAAACAAAAGCGACAAAGCAAAACCAAAATTGTGATTTTCTTTTAATTTTTATGACACTGTCGGCAGAGTTTTCGCCAGCGATTTTACGACTCGAAAATGCAGAAATGGAGAAGTTGGGGGAAAGGAGAACATTTCCTTATCGCTGCTTTTGATGATGCCCAAGGAAATCATTTATATTTCAGGGCTCCCCTTTCCATTTTGTCCATTTTAATGCTACTTTTGCATTTTTAATGATGATTGCCATTTTTGTATTCTTTTTGTTTGGATTTATGACCTCTGTGGACCACACGTGACGCATTTAATTGCGATTTAATAGCCCAAATGATCGCCAAAACTTTTGTGCGAACTTGGCGTTCGACTATTCTGATATGTGTGGTCGGTCGGTCAAAAAGTGGGAAGGAAGGCGGCTAAAGATTTCCTGGCAGCTCGTAAAGCCAGCGAAATTATGGCAATTTAACGGACGACGCCGATCCACCAGAATGGCCAGCAATTAGATGCCAGCCTTGGGCCACGTAATTCCTGGCTTCAGCTTCGTTTTCTCCAGAGCTTCAGAGCTCCAAAGTTCCAGTCCAGTAGTCGTTGTGGCTTTATCGCCAACATAAATTTTGCTCAGATAAAAGCGCGAAAAAAGCGCTGCTCGTGTCGTGGTCCCATGTCCACAAACAGACTTCTTCAGCGGCGGGGAATTCCCCAATCCACCTCATTGCAATGTCCAGAAATTATAGCAATTTGCTTGTCAAATTGTTGCCGACTTGGGCAATAAATCGTTGGCTTTATGGGCCGCTCTGCGACGCCAGGTGATCGCGATAGAGTTGTTTTAGAAATAAATTCGCCAAAAAGGCTTTCGACCGCGATCCTCTTGGCTCTCTTTAGTGGTTCGTAAACTTGTAAACTGTGCAATTTCGTCGGCCGGCTTTTACTTAAGTCGATCGTTTTTTTCCTGATCTCGCTAATTTAATGGTGCTTTGCCATCAGTCGAGCCAATTGAATAGTTGGCCAAGACGCTGGGGGATCCAGATCAATATGGTCCGATTGAAATATGGTTATGGTGATTTACGTGGCAGTGGGTGGTAATTTGCTTCGTTTATGACTGAATTGATGATGGGTTATCAATCAGACTAATTTGCAAGGAATGTGTAAAGGAATTTATTAATATGTAACTATAATTAAATTATTTCGCGTTAAGCAATTATTTAAACTCAGCGACCACTTTTCAATTAATTTCAACAAAGCTATGATAAAAATGTTGCCATTTGCGTTCAAATTTAACCATCTAAGTAGGTTGGTTATATCCCCTTTCGCCCCATTCTGCATTCTATTCCGAATCCAAATTCTGTTCATGACTCGCATCTGCAATTACCAACATTTTTATTGTCTCGCCTCTTGGGGCATCGCTTGCACCTGCTGTTCCTAAGGCTATTGTTGCTATTTTTACAGGGTATGCTAACTCAATATCTATTTTAGTTATTGCTTTGTCTGAAGAAAATGTAATGAGCTATGAGCCTTTTTGTAGAAAATAATAAAACAATCAATAAGCGAAATAAACTGGTTTTAAGATTACGAAGCTTGATACCTAGAAAATAATTTAAGAAAATTTAAGTTTTTACGTATGCATGCATGTACTAGGTAACCTTTAGCCAGTATTATCTACACACAAAGTTCCAAAATGTTGTTGTTGCCAAAAGTGAGGAGCTTGAAGTTGCCGTGGCTCTCGTAATTCGAAATGTTTACGGTACATTTAATTTCATTTGGATTATTACAATATGCTTTAGGAGGCAACAATTCGACTGTGTTTGCTGGGGAACTCCGTATCTTCCGCCTTCTTCACCCCACCCCTTTACCCACATCATGCTCCATTTGCCAAACCGAACAATGAGCCATGAAGGGGGTGTGGGGGGTGCTGGATTAAAGGGGAAATTCCAACCTCTCCTTCCCCAAAAACAGAACACCAATCCAGTGGATTTTTGGGCAGGTGTAGCGATGGCAAACGGACATATTTCATTGTTGTTGCCAAAGTGTAATTGCGAATTCCAGACAAATGTGAAATTTGAATTTACAAGTTTAACTTTTCTTGTGAAATCATTTGTTTGGGGGCTGCTTCGGTGGAACTCTCGTTTTTGTGTCTGCTCCTTTTGTGGCGTTTTATTTGCCTGTGCGACTCAAGTGTGCACTTGGCAATTCTCGACTTAGTTCATTTGTTCCATTTCAACGCTTGCCAGCTGAGGGAGTCCTGCGGGTGAGGAGTCCTTGCTCCATCTCTTCGGTCTTCGCATAAACAAATGTACTCATGTCGCTGCTCCTTTCTCTACTTTTCGGTCCCATCTCCCTCTTTATTCGTCTGTTACACTTCGATTGTCCCAATTTCGTTGCTATATTTCCGGCTTGTTGTACTTCGTCCTGGCAAAAATTCAAGGGTATGTCGTCTCTGTGGGGAAACAGGTGCAGACAAACTATGTTAGCATCTGCATTTACAAGTAAAAATCTATTCTAGGTTACTTATAAGCATACATTTACGAAAATATTGAGAGAAGAGCTATTAAATTATATTTGAGAAAACCTTGAATTGTGAAACGTTTTTGGTTTCTTATGTTAAAAGTAATTTTATAAATTAATTCATTTTTTGCAATGATCATTATTTAATTTAGGGTAATGAAATGCAAGAAAATCTTGTATCTTAAAATTTAAAAACTTAGAAGAGTTCTTGCTGGTTGAAAACCTTTAGAAGGTATTTCAGGTAAATGAGCATTTTTAGATCTCATACTTTCTGCTTATTTGGATTCCTTCTGTTTTGTGCCTCAAAGAACGCCACGAGCATCCAGTTGCAGCTGGAAAGGCTTTGACTGAAATCCCGAAGTGCTCCACCTCAACGAGCCACAAAACTCCGCCACGGATGGAGTGTCCTCCATGGCGAGGATATGCGAAATTCCTACGCAGCGCAGGACTGGCGAAGAAGAAGGTAGCCTTAGTTCGCCATTCTTGTTTGGCTTTTGTACATTTGCCCGGCTTTTTGTTCACTCGAAGGTTGGATGACTGTGAGGGGTGAAAGGGAAGAGAAGGAAAGGGGGTTCTGGCCAGGCTTTTGTGCTAGAGCGTTGTGCCGAAAAAGTTGCATTTCACGTCTTGTTGGATTCGGACTTGCTCCGGCTTTAGTCCTCAGTTCTCCCGCTGACTTGGCCTCTTCATATTTTGTACCCACCAAAGTGGTGCGTTCCGGTTTGCCGCATAAAACACACTGCCACGCCCCCCGGCACCCACACTCACACACACACTTACACACATATGTACGCCCTCACGCACACAAATACAATTAGAGACTTGGTTTGTTGGTTCAACTTGTTTGCTTACATTCAACTTTATTTCACTTCTGCAGCGATGGTTTCTTTCAGCCACTATCCCTCAACTCAACCCGTTCAGTTGGCAGTGTGTAAAGTTTTTGGCCAACTTGGGCTCCTCTTCATCGCCCCATTGTGCTTTACTGGAAAGGGGAGTTGGGGGAAGGGGGCTTGGGTGGGCGGAAACCTAGGAGCGTTGGGATGTCGGAAGCGCCTTAACTTAATTCTGCTGGATTTCTATGCATCCTCGAACGAACGAGCGTTGGCATTCTGTGTTTGCTTAAATGTTGTATAATTCACTGATTTCTCTGTGGTTTTGTTGCCATTGTTGGATTTTTGTTGATGCTCCTGGGTGCGCCTGTGTGTTTGTGTGGAGTGTGTGTGTGTATGCTTTTGTGAGTGTGTTGCCATGTTTGTGATTACATTACGTATACGTACGTATGCGCAATGTACGGACACTTGTTCATTTGGCGAACTGTAGGAACTTTGTGGTAAGTCCTTAAGAAATAGAATAATTGGCGGGATTACAAAAGATTTGTGTACATAAGGTTGAGCGCTGAAAATATAATAACAGCTTACTTATACCTTAATCTTTGGAAAATGCACAACTGTAATTTAAGAAATGCATTATCCATTTGATATCAGAGTTTTGTGAAAATGTGGTATGGTCTTTTTTATTTATTTGTTTAATTCAAAATCAATTTACTTAAAATAATAAAAAGGTAAAGTTGAAGCAGGTACAAAATAGAATTGATGAGTTGTTTTAATACGAAAAATCAAGGCAAGGGTATTATAATCATGGCATAATTTCAAAACAAAATAAAGGTCACATTTTCCATCTCTCTTTGTGCGACAACTTCCTTTTCGGTTGAATACCTTCATAATCACTTTTTAAACTAATAAAATCTATAACATTTTCACATCGGGTGTTCTTTGTTTGACCCAAATTATTTTGCCTTGTTGGGCGAGACTTCGCACTCCCGCATCTTCCTTCAGCCGACTTTTGTCCAGTGGATCGCAATAAAATAACCCGAAATACGTTGCCCAGGCCAATCCCTAGCCCAATTTCTGTTTCAGTACCAATCCCAGTCGATTCCCTCATGGAAAACGTAAGGAAACGAACATGGACCGAGCATTGTAAATTGTTGTCCGAAAATTTATTGGCAGCACTTATCAGATTCACTCATAAATCTGCAAAAAGCCCGTCTCCAAAGCCGTTCTCCCCGTCTCTTTCCCTCCTCAGCGAAGTACGTGAGTGGGTGTGAGTGTTCCTATGCGAGTGTGCGAGTGTGGGTGAGTATCTGTGTGAGGAGCGGAGTGTCTGTGTGTTTGTGCGTGGGTGGCTGGCATGTGCGAGACATTTATTTGCATGCCCCACCCGATTTTGCCCCCCATTCGGTGCTCCATTTCGGTCGCACAATCCACAAATTAACATGACATTTTTACAAGCCCAAACATGTGTACACATGGGCCCGAAAGTGAACCGAACCACTCGAAATTAATAGCCAGCAAAGCAGCATCGGGCGCATATACTCGCTCGTAAGCCGCTCATTCGATGTGGCCCAAATGGACAGCCGGACCTTTTGGCCGGACATTTATGGACATGGCCGAAAAAGTCAAACATTGGAACAGCAGACGGGGGCGAAACGGTCACATCGCATCGAACAGGTTGCCATTTTATGCATCCATAAATTTAATTACTCAAAGCTACAAAATGTGCAAAACAAAAAGCCATTAGTTCAGGTGGAAACTACACTGTTGACCAACTTTCATAACTCGAATTTCCCTTTTGTGAAAAGAAAGCACTCTCCTATTACGCATAAATTTGTACTTCTTGTGGAAATTTAAAATTGTTCATCGACCAGAGATAAGATTTATTAAGAGGTATAACAAAATAATAAATAATATAACAAGACTAAAAGTTTTAAATAAATATTGACCTTATTATATAATTATTTTGAAAGGTTGATATATTTGCCAAGATTTTCATAAGCTAACTTTTTTAACGGCTTTTAAATTTTATATTTTTTCCATACCGTTTTTTTTAGACGCTCTTATTTGCCCCCATTTGAATGTTCGATAATCTGGGCCAAGTGATGTGCATACCCAGTCAAGTTGCAGGTTTTTCATTGACAGGAGGCGAGTCCATAAGAGGAACCTCAAACAGAAGAGGCAACAGCCGTGTAGAGAGGGGGAAAAATCATGACAAAACATTTGGCCAACGAGTTTTCATTTTCTTTGTGCCGTGCAGTTTTTTGCGTCATTTTTCGGTTTCACTTGAATGAGAATGACGAGAGGACGTCGACGATGATGAAGTTATCAGGCAAAAACAAGCCAAAAGTTGGCACAATTTCAAAAAGTTGGCCCACATAGAACCGGGAAAAGAAGGGGCTAACAATCCGAAATGCAGACTGCAGATTCTGAAACAAGGCACATGAACTTTTGCTCACTGAGCTGCAGTGACAGAAAGAGACAGCTTGAGCTGGGAGCGAATGAGATGGAATGATCCAAGGACGAAAGAGATGGCTAAAAGGACACTGTGGACATCAAGCATTTCCGTCCAAGTGCGAATGAGTTTAGCTCTCGGATCCCTGTCAATAGCGAGGAGTGGCACATGGACAGGAGCCACAGGAACCGCCAACACAAAAACAACAGTGCCACCAGAAATCGGTATAACAACGCTTAAACAACAACAAAAACAACTACCATAGCAACAACAACAACAACAGTTGACAAATGCAACAAACGACAAGTTAAAATTCATGTTCATTGTAGTTGCCACAAGTTTGCCTTTGCTGAGGTTAAAACACAACATTTCTCGACATCAAACCAACAAGCTGGCAATGTAAATGGTAATTGACAAACAGCAGCTTAAGTATTTTAAATTGTTTTTAAGAGCAGTGATTTTTGTTCGAGCTAAGATTTCAAATAAATTGTAACATTAGGAAACAAGATTTCCCAATTAAAATAGATTTTTAATTCAATTAAGAATCTTGTATTTAATTTAAATTTCTAGCACCAAACTCCTTTAACTGAGTTAAAAGGAAATTGAAAATGAAAATTAAATAGAACTGTGTTTTCACTCTTTTTTGACAAAATAATAAAAAACTATGAACTGATAAATTGCCAACTATTTTAATTATTCAAATTTCAGGAAAAAAAATTCAGCTTGTTGGCAGCTTTCACTTCACTCAACAATCTAAAACAAAACATTTGCGCAATGTAAGTGGCCAGAATATTTTACCGGCAAATATCTGCAGATAGAAAGTGTTTCTGCCACCTCACCTGACTGACTGACTGACTGACTGACTGACTGTCTTCCGTTCCATTCCACTTTGGACAATAATATGACGTATGTTGGGGCCAACATGAAGTTGGCCCGCAAAATAATAAAATGGCTATAATAAATTTCTGTTTTGCAAAATATTTCCAGGAATTCGGGGATGGATTGTATGCCAGCCAGCCTTTCAAGCGGAAATTGCACATTTTGCAGAAAGTGCTCCCCCGAGGGAACTGGGATGAGATGGAGTATAAAAGGAATTAGGAATGCAATTTGAGGTTATGTTGGCAATGTGCAGCCGGGCTAACTGCACCGACACTAACATGGCCTTACACTTGGAGAAAAGTGGGTTATTGTTTCTTATTTTAAATAAGATTATGTTGTTTTTATTAATAAATAGCCTGTATGTGTTCTTTATATCCTAGTATTAAAATGGTGTTGCATCATATTAAATTGTAAAGGAATTATTATTTATGTTAGATCATTAAATGTAAGAGTTGCAATTATCAGGCTAAATACATATTGAAAATTTATTAACCACATTAAGCTTTAATTTCTCCCAGTGCATGGCACCACCAGCGCATGCTGACCACATCTGTATGCGCATTTGTTTAGAGAGAGAGACGGTGTGTGTGTGTGTGTCAGCTAGACAAACAGACAGTTGGACTGGCACTTGGACAGATGTTGGGATACGTTCTGAGCCTGGAAGTTGGAGCTGGGCTACGGTCTGACAGCTGGACCCAGAAATCCTCAAGCGAGACCCCGAAAAACCTCTTCCCAGATATTAATAGACGAAATTTGAGTATTGCTTCCGTCATGAATAAAATTTTGCATCCAGTGGGCAGCTGCAGCGAATGGGGAACGATGTGGGGCTCCCCCGAAAAACTTTTGACAACCCTCCCCTAGCTCCACCTCCACTTTGGAAAACTTCTCATCCAGAGTTGCAGCGTTCACATTGTCCTGCACTGCAGTTTCCTTGCCCAAAACTTTTCAAATTGTCCATTCAACGTCCATTCAGCTGTCTGTTTCTGTGGCTTCATTTTTCTTCCTTTTTTTGCTTTTCTTTTAATTTTAATGATGCCCTCCGAAAAATGTAAAACGCTTGCGTTGCCGCAGTGCTAAAAACAATTTCTGGTATGTGCACTTTATGGGCGCATCGGGATTCTGTTCCCAATGGCCAGAGGACATTACCCTGAAGTCCTTTCTTGGAAAGTGGTTCGTTTTTTTGGGGGAGACATAAAAAGAGAGCTAAAAGATTGTGCTTAACATTTCAATTTACTATTGAGTCTAAAAGGTTTACAATTCAGACGGATGTCAAGGTAATATTTAGTATATTAATAATAAAACTGATTTTCTTAAAAATATTTAAGCAGTAACAAGTGCCCAAAATATCGATAATTTTTTATCAACACAGCAGTTGTTTTCCTGAATTTTTAAAATTCAATCAAAGTCAAAAGTCTGTTCCTATCAAAATTTAATATCCGACTTAATCAAAAACCGAATCCGATTTGGCCACAATTGTAACAGCAAACTGTTTTGGCCCATCAAACGAAAATTCCAGCACTGCAAAATTCAAAATGCAGAAACTGAAAGAAACGCAGCGAAACGAACTGGGCCGAAACCACAGAACGAAATGCGGTAACACGCAAAACTTTGCTGAATCAACTACTAAAAGATTTATGGTATCAAAATAGTGCCACATAAAATATTCACACCTTGGCCGGGCTGCCAGAATCTAACGACTGCCGAGGGCCAACGGAAAGGGATTTTCCGAAGGGGGGAAAAGCGGGGAGAAAGCCAACCAACTGATGCCTTTGGTACGATAAAGCCATTGTTTATACTCCGCCAAGCGACTGGGTTGTGGATTGCATTTTGGCCATAAGTTGGCAACATTTTTTATGCGTTCATCATGCGGTCAGCATAAATTTTTCATCGCCATTGCCGCTTTTCCTTCGTTCAATTTTTCCCTTCACTTGGGGCCCCCCGAACATGTTGCCAATTTTGATGGCTGACGGCCATAAATCAGACCGTTTAAAGTCGCCAAATGAAAAACAAGGACTGAATAATTTCTTTTTGGCTAAAAACATATAAGCCATTTATTCCACACCAAATTATCTGTAACCATGTAAGTGTTCTTGTGTATTTTTGTGTCTTGTGTAGGTTTTGCTTGCGAAGGGGAAGTCTTAGAACGAATGGCGATTGTAACTGAAGAGACACCAATCACGCAAAAGTACAAAAAACAACTGATGATGGGCTCAATGTGGATCCTTAACGCCAATGGGGGGCCTTGCTAACGGATTTTCCTGGAAAGAAAATAATAATAATTGTTAAAATGATTATTAAAGCATTCTAGAACATAATACAAATATATATATATATAGACGTTCACGGTTTCATTTAACGATATAATGATTTTCTATCAAATTAATAGTAAAATTGAATTTATTAAATTACGTAAATTCATAGCGACGCCGTCTTAAACGGACATAAATTGTTGGTAAAATCTGTTACTTTAAATTTTCTCATAGGTAGTTCGGGATAATTATAAATTCCCTTTGCTTACTCACCACAATTGAATGACTGATTGCTCTTGCCGCACTTCGAATATTCGTTTCCCGACGGCGTGCTGTGTGAATAGCGGATTAAAAAGGATTACTATGGATAGAATTAGGAGGCTGAACCCTTCGGCGAGATCTACTTACTTCAGTCCGTTCCGAACATCCCGGTACATCGTAGAAGATGGCATGTCGTATGAGGACTTCATGCGGTTCCCTTGCTGCTGGTGGTTCTGATGCTGGAAGTGGTGCTGCTGCTGCTGCTGTTGGTGGTACTGCGGCTGGTGGCTCTGCATGGGCTGGCTGTACTGCCACATGTTTCCATTGCTCATTAACTGGTTGTTGTTGGAACCGGAGTTCCAGTTGCCAGGATGCGAGGGCGATGAGGGACAGGTCATCCCACCATTTCCGCCGCCCGTCAAACGACCTTGATGCATTTGGGTGGTGGATCCAGAATTATTGTACTGCTGCATCGGCGGCATTTGACCCATCGCAGACATGGGCTGCAGATCGGGAATTACTGCATTCATCCCAGGGGCATCGATGGCCCCCATGGGATTGCCCATCATGGGCATCATGGTCATGCTGCTCAGTGGCGTCACCGCTCCAATGGGCAGCTGCGATGTCGTCGTGGACATGGGGGTCATCTGATTGCCAGCGGACATCATGTTGAGCGGCATGCCCTGCATGGGATACGAGGACATCTGCGGAGCACTCGACATGGGCATCTGCATCTGAAGATTCATCTGCGGCGGATTCAGCGGCTGCATTGACATGGATTGTCCCTGGCCGGGATTCATTCCCATGGGATACTGAGGCACGTTCTTCATCTAAAGAATTACACTATACCCCAAAAGTACTTTTAATAAAAACCGATCTATACCTTCGAATCGGCATACATGCTGTAATCAGCCTCGTAGGGCACTGAGCAAAAATTCATTTTTAAATTGTGAAAAATTCGATAGATTCCGAAAGAACAGAAAAAGTTCGACACTGAAAATTTCTTACTAATTTACAATTTTTTGAATTTATTTTTTAGAAGAGATCTGGATCTTACGGTGAACTAAACACGAATGAGATTTGGTAAAGAGAAACTTTACAAACTTCTGACATTGTTGGAAAAAGGCTACTAGGTTGCCTATAATTCAACATTTGGAAAATGGAAAACGATCAATTTTAAATTTGCATCTTGTTGGCCTTGAAAAACTAACTCATTGAGAAAGTGACACATATCACTATTTTGGGCTAAGCAAAATTGCCAGACCTTTCCGTTTTGGGCTATTCAAAATTCGTTGTTACCATATCAAGTAAATGGATCGAAAGTGTCAGAAGTGTAGGAAAAGGAAAAAGGTGAAAGTGGTTACTACTAACCATCACTCGAAGTGCAAAAAGACCAACTGTCGAAAAAAGCATCATGTTCAAACTCAAAGACACGCCCACCGCCACCCAAAGGATCCCACATCGAAGGTGTTCCACAAAAACTGCTGCAAATACAAGACGCATTCACAATCCTTGAAGGTCAATCAGTGCAACCTGGCCACCCAGTGTCCTTCTCGCACGATCCCCATCGCCGCCTCTGTTCCTCTGCTGCAACATCCTGTTCGCCGAACGGTGGTGAAGCTTCCTGAAACGGTGGTCATACACATGCGGAATGAGGAGGATGCCCGTCGAGTGGCAAACAGCTGCAAAAGGACCCTTTTGAGATCCTTTGTCCCAGGACCGATGGTCCAGAGAGATGAAAACTCGAGAGGAGATCGCGAAATAGATCTTAGGCCACGTCGTGTCTATCGAAACGGAAGAGCAAGGCCGTCCTTTAGCGAAATGGACTTGAAGTACGAAAATTCGTTTCAGTAGAGCTATGTTCAGTGAATATGTAAATGTAAATATTTCTATATTTTTTACATTTTAAAAACAATGCACTTCGAAAGTTTGTTTGAATTTATTATGCCATTTCTTAGTAGGGAGCACTTAAAATAAAATCGTTTATAAGATTAAGAAGTCATGGTTTCTATTTTGCAGTGGTTTATTAGCAAGACTAATCTGGCATCTATGGTAAAACCCAACTGCCATATAACTACTAGAAGTTAGTTTTCCTTACATTTATATTTAGTTCCTCCTTTCCGCGAACCGCTTTCCCCATAGGAATAAGAACTATTTTAGTATGCTTAACTAGTTGCTTCGTCCCTTGGGCATATCGTGATCATCCATAGGCCACGCCCCTTCGGCAGTCTCCCCACCACCCAAGCTGTCCAGGACAATTAATATTGCCCCAGCTTGTCAGCTTATTGTTTATCTACATAAATACGGGACACGAAGAACGGCTGCCCAGAGCTGTCGTGTCATTTATTCTCGCTCTCCGTCCCGCCTCGACTTTCGATATCCTTTCGGCCGTGGTGCAGTTGCCACACCATTTATGCCATTAAGTCATTAGCTTTGTTTAACAAATAACAAACTGTCAATGAGTAGATTAATGATGTTTTTCGCATGAACTGCAATTAGCCGCCGCCGTGGACGTTCGCCGCCCGAGTTGTTCCAACTGACAAATGGGTGTGATTTCGCTCCCAGCGGCGTTTCGTTTTCCTGGATCCGAGGTGCACCACCGCTGGATTGATGTGGTGGTGGTGGTGGGGCCTGGGTGGTGCCACCGGGTGACAAGGACTCGTTATTGATGCGCCCCCAAGCTGCCGTCACTTGGCAATTATTGTGTGTATTGTGCTCCAAGTCAGCGGCATTTGCCAGAGTCATAGACATTGTCATGGAGCAGTCTATCTCATCATTGGAGGGCAGTGGTGACACTGTTGTTAGCCAACTCTCTACTGGCTATTTATTAGGGTAAATGAAGAAAATTGTATACTTTGCCATCATCCTAACAAAAAGAAAAATTGAAAACAAATGGACATTACATTTTCCATAAAACTTTATAAATACTGTTCATCGGAACACCTTAAAAATTGTGAAATTTTTAATGCTTCTGTGGCTGCCAATGTTTTGGTCACAATTAACCCTTTAAAATGGATTGTTTTAATGAATATAAATTGTAGAAAACTATACACATTCTTTCAGCTACTTCTCCTACTCTAATCTTAATTTATTGCTGCCAACTCTGATGGTGAGTGGGAGCTGGAGAAGCAGGAGTAGAGTCAACGCAATTATACCCGTTGACAAGTGTAATGTCAGCCAACCGCGGCTGCCGTACTCATTGGCATCTCGACGAAGCTCCATTTGCCAACCATCCTGCTGTTTCTGCTGCTTTCTGCTGTTTCTGCCGTCGACGTGACGCGCTTCATCACTCACTCGCTCGCAGCTAACACGCTCCCCAGTTACCCACTTACACGGCCCACTCCACTTAGCCACTCAGCTCGACGGGACGACTGGCACCAGGCTCATTTCGATCCCTGCACTTTAATTCCATAACCAGGAGCGGAACTGGAATGTTCTATAATGGGGCCTGTTACCAGAAAAAGTATTAAGCCAAGCGATATTAACAGAAAACTCTTTAAAATCATGCCAATTCTATGTAAAAAAAAGTTAAAATTGTTAAAATTATTTTACAAGCTTGAAGCAGTATTTTTATATACAAATTGATTAGGAAAATATTTGTAAGGCCAAACAAGTCATTTTTAAGACCTTAAGTACAAGTGATTATTATTTTCATTTAGGTAAAATCCCATTGCAAAAGGTATTCGATAATTTCCAAATATTAACCATATGTTTGTAAAAAAATACATTAGTATACATCGTAAGAATCTGGTCTGTTAAACAGATCATTAATATTAAAACACCTTCAAATAATTTCTGAAACCGCTCCTGTGTTAAAATATTTACACTGTAATTATTATGCAAAATGCAATTGACTCCATTATTTACGATATTGTGAAACTTCGTGAGCAGAGTGCCAAATGGGGTGAACCACATTGGATGGCGACAACAAAACTTTCAATATATGTATGTATTGCTAATTCCATATTTCTATGTATATTTGTTATCCGCCAACAAAATATAAATGAGTTTGTGTGCGGTCGCTAATTGCCTTTGCCAGAAAGTTAATTACGGCGAAATTTGAAAATTTCAAAATTGGACTTGTCAAAAACATTTTGACGTTTCCCTTCAGACGACCGCCAATCCCCCAATTTCCCACTCCCCCATTTTCAGCCATCATTTGGAGGAAATTAGTTTTACAAACTTTTGGATTTTTGAATTTTCGCACTGTTTCGGTTTCAGTTGACTTTAAACAAAAAGTCGGCTTTCATTGTTGGCTTTGATTTTCATTATGCGGCATTATTATGACTATTAGCACTCGAATTTCAAACATAAACGGGGAAATGCCATTCATCAAGTGGAGTGTTAATGTCCATTTGCATTACTGGCAAACATTTGCGAGGCCTAATTAAGTGCCATGGATGCGTGTTAATGAGTGCGCGTCGAGTTCAAAAAATGGCATTAAAATTGCAAACAAAAATAATTGTGACATCAGAATTTTAGCTGGTTTTGGCTAAAATGTCATTTGTGAAATGTGATTTGACTTCCGCCAGTGTCATAATAAAGAGGAAATTAATGCGATAGTTTAGATTTACCTGTTAGCTTTAAACAAATATTTCAAAAAGGCATGGAACTTTGACACTACAACGTATCAGGATTTTGGCCAAAATGTCATTTGCGAAATGTGATTTGATTTCCGCCGGTGTCATAATGGCAAGGAAATCAACATGATAGGTTACATTTACCTGTTAGCTTTAAACAAATATTTGAAAAGAATGCAACTTTGGCAACATTTAATGAACACTACACCGTTGTTAAACAGTTAATGAACTAGCGCGAAATGTGCATTGTTGTAAAGAGAATGGCGACAATCCTTTGGCTCATTACAGGATGGAGAAAATGAGAAGGACTTTTTGTGCAGGCGACGGGATAAAGTTCGCCTGTTTTACCCATTTCTCATTAGACATGCACGCCGGGATATAAGGTCTTTGATTTAACACCTAGAAAGAAGGCGAGCTCGAGCAACAAAGGCCTCATTAATTAGGAATGTTAAGATGATGAAAACTAATCTGCTAAAAGCACACTCTCGCTACTTTCGCCGGCCCCCCATCTTCTCACCTTCTGAATCCTTTAGGTGAGTCATTTGTCTACCAGGATCAATGGAGAGGAGGCAGGAGTGCAGGAGTGCAAGGATTGCAAGGAGTACGAGGAGTGGCTTCGGAGGCGTCATTGTTTGGCACCGGTTCACATGCGCTTAATGCACTTGGAAGCCCGGGCTTCACCTTCGACAATGTTGCTGGATAAGCACAGACGGCAAAACACTGGCAACAAACTAACCCAGCTGCAAGGACCCTGCGGATGCGAAGGATACACGATAGACCATGAGGCAAGGACGTCAAACTGGAATCTGTGCAAATCACAAAATTGGAAAAATCGAGGCGGACCGAGGAGCAAACACCGGAGGGGCCGAAGGGTACAGCAAGCTAAATGCCAAGCGAAGTAGAAGCCGGAATCAGAATCGAGTCCTCCATTAGAGTTGGCCATAAAATAAGCAACTTGTATCGGTAGCTGCAGCTCCACTTTCCAAGCGCATTTTTCACGGGGAGAAATAAAAGTGGCTTTAAAATTAAAAAAAAGGGGGAAAGTTAAAAATTTTTTATAAACATATTTATAACTATTTAAACCTTTTGAAAGTCAAATGTTACTAAATAAATTAGTCATTTTGCAATCGCAAATACATTTATATGGTTTAAAAAGGAGTACACTTATTTTGGGTTGTGTTCTTTTATTAGTGCAGTTCACCATTAATCAATAATTAATAATTAATATTACGTTTTTAAATTTCCTTCCTAATAGTTAATACTTGGACATGAAGAGAAACTCAAAAAATTTCTACATTTTTTTATAATCCTTTTTAAACAGACCTCGTACTTTTTTTCTGGTAGTAATAAAGATGAGAATTTTGATTTATCGAGCTTAAGTCATCAGATTTCGCTCAGTGCACTCGTAAGCTCATGATGCCCCAATGCATGACGCTTGGCTGAGTGCAAATTCAATTAACTTGTTACAACACAAGCTCAGGATCAGCTTTGGCATCAGCATCTGCCCAGACGGGATTGGGATTTGTTTCTACGAGTATATCTGAGCCTGCAGATACCGGTCTGCACTTCTGCACTAAAACTGGGCTCGCAAGGCTTGGCCAACATTTCTTGGCTCGTCCTCCGCCAACTTTTGTTTATTCTATTTCGTATTTTAATTCCAATCAAATTGGTTTTTGCGGTGCGCGCTCAAACAAACAGTTATTTGATTTAGGCCCCCGCTCGGAAAATGCATTTTTAGTCATTCAATTAATAAAGGATTCCGAAGGCAAACATCCATAACCAAGTGACATTTACATTGGCAAATATAGACGTTAGCAAATGGATGGAAAAGCAACAGAAGGAACTACTCGAGCCGAAGTCATTGCAGTTCAAATGAATTTCTTAGCAACTCAAATTGAAATTAATAATCAAATGTCAGTTACTCAATGGATTAGCAAGAAGCCAATGTAAATAGATCTGCAGAAAATATGATCAAGGTATACAAACTTGATTGCTCTAAGGATGTTGCGCGGTTTCGAGGATGAATGAATGATTGATTTGACAAAAATAAGCAAGGAAAACATTATAGACTTGTTTAAATGCTATAAAAAATCATTTATTAAACGATTGAATGCAACTCAAAAGTTTTAAGTGTATTGGATAAGTTTAAACTGACAGAATTAATTTTAGATCTCACCACACTTTTGTAAATTTTAAATTTATCTCTTGTATGAACAACTTATAAAGTAAAATACTTTTTGACTTTTATATTCCTTACTCAAATTTCACTTTAAGTACAATTCCCTTTACCCGCTCAACTGACAACAGCCGACGGGCAAAATATTCAGGTTGGCCCCCTTTTTTTCCA